TATATGTCCCAAATACACCAAGCCTGACTCTTGACCCACAAGTGGCTTTTGTCTGCCCTGACATGGCTCAGGAGAACTGGCTTGGACAGAAAAGAACCAGGGGAGCAGGGAGATGGAGCTGGTAAGAGAGCTGAGTATAGCTGATCCCCTGTGGTCCCCTGAGCACACTGTGATGTGGATCCAGAGAAGGAGAGAAATGATGCACACTGACCCCCAGAGTCTCACACAGGCCTTCAGGCTTGTTTCTTCAAGCTATGTCTCTCTTAATGCTTGCACTCCCCCTAAATGTCCTGGGGTGGGGGGAAGATATCAATGCTGTTCTCAGAGCAAGTAGGTACTGCTGTGTCTAGCCAACGTGCAACCCGCCACGTCAGAAAGCTCAGCTTCTAGTCCCGCTGTCTGTAGTGCTCATGCCTGCTGTTCGTAGGGCACATGTCTGCTGTCACTCTTGGCTTCTTCCCTGGTAGATGCTGTATCTAAGAGAGTGATCCCCGAGTACCCTTGGCTCCACCCATCACAGGCCTCCTCCAGCCTTCCTCTTCTCTGTTCTTTGTGAACCACTGCTTATCGATTATGAGGCTGCAGGATTCGGAAGCTGCGGCTCAGATCACTCATCGCAGGTCTATGGAAACGCTCAGCCGACATACTGCAGACAGCAAGGCCTTTGAACCTGGACTCACTGTCACTACTCGTTGGGGTTGCAATGAGTCGGATTAAAATCCAGCCTCAGCGCTCCATTCCTACAGCTGCACTTGCAAAGTACTTGTGAGAACTGGAGGCCATGAGGGTTTGCCCGACAACGTGGTGCCCAGCCATTCTGGTTAGGCCAACCCCTCATCATTCCCATCTGTACTTAGGCAGTTGTCTCACTGGTCCCTCGACCCATTGGTCCCTCCTCCCTGTCTTCAGAGTTTCTCATCTCCACTTCTGGAAGAGCACTCTTGAGTGGCTCTGCTCCTTGCCTTTAGTTTTGGCTTCAGGATTCATGTTCTTCCTTTGAAGCCGATTTCCCACCAAGCCCATGCTCTGTGTGCCTGTGATACACAGTCACTTGCCTGGTAAGCTCTGTGCTTGCATCAACGACCAATTTGTAAATTCTTCTCCCTGCTAACCCCTAGATCTTGCTCCCCTAGTCCTTGCTAACTCCCAGTCCTCTGCATTCCTGGAATACTGGGGCACTCCTATATTAATCTGGTTTAACCCTGGATGTTCAATAGATGACCCTGTGGGTGCTGACGACCCATCTGAATTACTTTTGGCTCCTCAGGGACAAAGGTTGTACCTTTTGGCTTAGTTTGCATCTACGTGTATGAGACATAAACAAAGACCGTTTTCCAGAAACCAGGCAGGTTTTGGGAAAGGCTGGGGATGAGGAAGTGAGGACGCATTTCCAGTGTCACCAGTTTTCCTCTCTGTGGGACTGAGGTGGCCACAGAGGCCTGGCCTCTTTGAGAGGTCTAGAAGTTCATGGAAAACACAACCTAGACCCCAGTTCCCTTGCAAAGCCCTTTCAGTTTTCCTGTCCGGCAGAGCCAAGTGCAAGGCTGAGAGATTCCTTTGCTTGTCTTCATCCTTGGTTTGTGCTGGCCTCTCCTCTGAGCTCATCGTAGTCCCAGTAGACAGAAGGTTGCGAATAGCTGTTCAGAGTGCAACAGGCTCCCAACCCCCACCCCAGCAGAGGCCTCTCATTTCAGGGATCTGTTTGATTTGGTCTTTCACTGAGACCAACGCACACCAACCCTGATTAAGTTCTTGCTAACTTCATAGCAGGCCAGGTTTGCTTGTGAACTGACAGCATTCCCGGTTATGAGGTTAGGTTAGAGGGATTCCTGGCTCACTCTATGCCATGCGAGAACTGTCATTTTGCTTCCCCTCTCTTCTGTTTAACCCCATCTCGCCATTTCCAGGGCTGTCCCACCTCTGCCCATCTGCCTAGGTCCTGTGACAATGTCACTGTGGATGAGAATATTGTGACTCCCAGCCTTAGGAAGTGGATGGGGGCTCCAGCAAAGAGGCCTCACTGACGCTGATAATAGAGCTACAGCCAGCAACAAGGCTGCCGGATGGATGCTGGGCCCTTCCTGTTCCGATGCTTCCCATCCCTGTGGTGACAGCTCTCCTCTCTGTCTAATCCTCTTGTGTAGACATTTGTCTGCCTGGAAGCTCCTGTCATCTCTGCACTGCCTTCTGCTGATGTGCCCAGTGTTCGTTCGTTCTCTCTCTCTCTCTCTCTCTCTCTCTCTCTCTCTCGTTACTTATAATCTATTCATGTGGCTACGGGTCTTATCAGCAATGCCAGGAAGATGGGGCAGTTGTGGCTGTTAAGAGGCTCAGATTTCCAGTGACCTGACTCTTTTCCCAACCATTCACTGGCTCCCAGAGGACATTGTTAACATGTAGCTCAAGCCACAAGCCAGCTTCAGTGGACACAAACCTGTACCAGCCCAATTACTACTCCAGAGGCTAAGTTAGGAAGATTTCATGTCTCAGCCAGCCTGGGCAACAGAGTGAGTTCAAAGCCACCCTAGGCAATTCAGTGGGACCCTGCCTCAAAAAGTAAACGGGAGCAGAGATAGAGTTCAGTTGGTAGAATGATTGCTTAGCTTGTGTGAAGCTCTGGGTTCAATCCTTATATTGGAAAATTGATAATGATGGTGGTGGTGGTGGTGGTGGTGGTGGTGGTGGTGGTGGTGGTGGTGGTAAAGTGATCCATGATGTTAGGAAGTTCAGGCTGGACACAGGAAAGCAAGGGCAGACGAGAGTTCCCAGTGGGCAGTGATCTTCTAGGGTCTAAGTTTTAGATCCATTCAATGAACTTTGTAAGCTGGCTTTAGTCAGACCAATTGAGAGAAAAATTATAAGCTAGAAAAACCATAGGGGACATAGCTCAGTGGGACGGTGGCCCAGCATTCACAGGGCCCAGGTCCCAGGTAGGTGTGTCTGAATGTATATGTCTGTGTGTGCATACACAACGAGACGAACTAGAAACGTAGAGTGGGTCCCTTGGGAAAGCCTGCCTGCTCCAGTATTTTTGTGAGGTGGGACGTGTCAGGTTTTCAGTGGCTTCCCTTCAGGTCTGACCCAGGACGGGAATTGGTTTTTTCTTGTGGTCTGGCAGTGGAGTGCTTTTGCTACATAGGAAGTGAGTGGATTTGTTTTCTTTCATTCTTTCATTTAGTTGGTAAATACCAGACATTTAGTGAGTACTCTGGAAGAGTAAGCTAAACGCAGAGCCCTTCGCTGGGATGTGCACACACACATTGTCCTTTGCTGGGGTGTGCACACACACACATTGCCCTTTGCTGGGGTGTGCACACACACATTGCCCTTCGCTGGGACGTGCACACACACATATTGCCCTTCACTGGGGTGTGCACACACACATTGTCCTTCACTGGGACATGCACACACATGCTGCCACAGTCAGCTCCAGTCCAACACCGCCACACCACCATCACATTACAAGCAGGGAAAGCTCTGTGTTGCAGACATCCATGACCAGGTGTGTGTTTTAGAGGGCTATGTATCCACACTGGGACCAGCCTTGGAGTCCAGCATTTCAGTGGTGGAAGAACTCTTTTTACCCCCTTTTTAATTGAAAATATTTTTTTCACATACTATAATCTGATCATGATTTCCCTACATCTCCTCCTGGGTCTTCATACCTCCCTACACATCCAAATCTATGCCTTCTTCCCTCCTCTTTCTCTCTCTGTAGAAAAGAAACAGACAAAAAATGAGACAGAATTAAAAACAAAACCAAATAAAAAGCACAAGAAGACACACACATACACTCACATGAACAAACCCCATAAAAACAGAAATCATAACATACAAGCAAGAGACAGGTAGATAAGCTAGTACAGGCCCAAGCACAGCAGTGAGACCACCCCTCACCTCCCACCCTCCAAGTCTACAGAAGCACCACTGCGTTTGTTTTGACTTGGTCATCTACTTCTGGGTGTGGAGCCTGCCTCTACGTGTGGTTAATATACCCAGTCAGACGCCATTACAGAAAACTGCTTTTTCCTTGGCAGGCAGTTGTCAGTTGGAGATAGCTTCTTGGTTAGGGATGGTAGCTTGTGCTTGCTTTTTCCTCATACCACTGGGACTCTATCTGGCTTGGACCAGGATAGGCCAGGGATGCTGCCATAGTGCCTATGGGTGCCTATGTGTATCAGTCTTGTGTCTGGAAGTTGCCTTTTTCCTGGAGTCATCCATCTGAGTCTTACAACCTTTCCGCCTCCTCTTCAGCATAGCTCCCTGACCCCTAATGGGAGAGGTTTGAAGAAGGCACCCCATTTAGGACTTAGTGCACTAAGTCCTAAATTCTAAATTTCTCACTCTCTGCACACTGTCTAGTAGTGGGACCCTGTATGACCTGTCATCTACTGCAGACAGAAGCTTCTCTGATGGTGGCAGACTGGGGCACTGACCAATGGGCATAGCAGAATTAGGAGTCATTTTATTACTATGTTCCTTTAGCAGAACAAGAGCACTTGGTTTGATGGAAGGATCTTTTTAAAAAGTATCTATCTAAATGACTCGAGGAGGTAAAAGGTATCTATCAAATGCAATTTAGAGAAAATGAAGTTACAAGACCAGTATCCCCTGGAGAGAAAGACTAGAGTGATAAGTATTGCCAGGGCCATAGCTCAGCAGGCAACAAAGACCTTCAGAGGGTGTTTTCTTCTCCTTGTTCACTCTGTGAAGTCAGATATAGGAAATGGAGGCGACACCCTCAGAATATTGGGCCAGCCAGGCCACCATCACTCCTCTAGCAAATGGTAGGCCTGTAACTCCCTTTGAGGTTGTCTATCTTAAATTCAAGGGCGTGAATTTCTCCCACTAAGACTCTGAAGCAAGAACAACCTTCCCAAGCCAGTGTTTCTCCCAGGTCTCCCAGATGCCCCTTCCTACTGGGACCACAGGTCCTCAGTGGAATTTTGCTGTTCTGCAGGGTCAGGTCACTGAACTCACTCTCCTGTGTTTGTCTCTAGCCCTGGAACAGCTGCTGACAGAGCTGGACGACTTCCTCAAGGTCCTAGACCAGGAGAACCTGAGCAGCACAGCCGTGGTGAAGAAGAGTGGCCTGTCGGAGCTTCTGCGGCTTTACACCAAGAGCAGCAGTAAGTATGGGCCTGGGCCTCGGGTGGTCCAGGGTGAGCTTTCCTCTTACAGCACCATGTCACAGATGCCTTCATAGCACACTTCCAGAGACCAGCTCCCAGAGAGCAAGGAGTCGGCAGGGCTGGCTCTTCCTGAGGACTCTCTCCCTATTGTGTTCTCACTCAGCTTCCTGTGTGTGTGTGTCTGTGTCTTCCATCTTAGACTAGGGGTCACCCTGGTGACCTCAGTTTTAGGCTCCACATCCAAATAAAAATTCTGAGACCCTGGAGACTAGCGTTTAGTATACGAACTAGGATGGGGAGGGGCAGGCGCGGTCAGGGAGGCACAGTTTAGCTCCTAACAGTGGTACCTGGTAACCTGACTTGCCTGGAAACCATCTAAACACTTCACGTATCAGCCAGATTTTAAGTGGAGTATGTTCAAAGCCCTCTCCCTAATGGTTGTAAGAGGAGAGTTAGGAAATTGTTATGAATATCGAGGGCTTCCTTGTGTACTAGCCAAGGAGACAGTCCCTGTAGAAACTATATGACCTTCAAGACAACCCTATGCAGTTGGTGCTGATACCACCCAGGGGACTCAGACCACAGGGTTTCAATAACTTGACTAGCATTTGTAGCCTGAGGGGAGAAGACGACATAACTTTAAGACTGTTGATCACAGAATCCTGTGCTCATAATTTCTCCACCATTTTTATGGTAGAGGTAGCATACAGTAAGGCACACAGACCATAAGTATGAAATTCAGCAGCTTTTGATAATTGTAGACACGGGAGTAACCCCTATCTAAACCCAAACGAGATACTCCTGTCATCCAGAAAGTTCTATCTTATGGGCTAGGAAGATGGCTCAGTCAGTACAGCTCTTGCAATATAAGCTTCTGAAGGTCTACGATTGAGCCCCAGCACCCACAAAGCCAGACGCAACAGCATGCACCTGTATTTATTTCCATGAGGAGATGGAGACAGTGAGATTTCCACTGGGTGCCAGTCAAGAAAATTAGGTGGAGAAGCCATTGAGAAAGATATCCAATCTTAACCTCTGGCCTCCATCAGCCCAGGTCAGCTGATACTCACACACAAGCACGTGTGCATGTGTGTACATGCATGTGTAAATAAAAGATTCGAGCAAACACATGGACACATGCAGCAAAAGTCTAAGAACAATGAGGACCAAGATTTTGAGACCTCTGACCTCCATGTGCATCTGTGTATACACAGCTGTTTTTCTTCAATTCAGTCTTGCCCTGTTTTCTGTAATCTCCTTCCCATCTCTGCTCCAAGGCAAGCATTTTGCTAGTTTCTCTCACCTAAGACAGTTCCTGTTCAGGAACTGCGTGTAAACGCCGTCATACTGTGTGTACTGTGGCTTCCCTTGGAGACTCACAAAAGCTGTGGGTGTATCTGTACCCTGTTCCTCTCATTGCTGGAGTATTTACTTGTTGCTGTCTGCTTAGGGTGTTCATGTGTTTCAGCTGCAAGGCTTGGTGGTCTCTGTGAATATTCTTGTATAATTCTTCTGAACGGATGGTTTCATTTCTAGCAAATTCAGAATTGCTTTTTTTGTTTGTTTTTTGTTTTTGTTTTTGATTTTTTCAAGACAGAGTTTCTCTGTATAGCCTTGGCTGTCCTGGAACTCACTCTGTAGACCAGGCTGGCCTCGAACTCAGAAATCCACCTGCCTCTGCCTCCCAAGTGCTGGGATTAAAGGCACAGAATTGCTTTTTTAAAGACAAACCTTGTGAACTGTGAGAGCTGAATGTAGTTGATTTTTATGTCAGGTGTTTGTGACTAGACATGCTATATGGGGACATCAGAGGGCACCAGATCCATCTGTCTCTTGGCAGGAGTGGCCACCACCCCTGCCAGGGAAAGGAAGTGTTTACTTGTTCCAACTGTCACAGTCCGGATAACTCCCTGAATCTAGCCTGAATTTCACTGGCTACTTTTGGGGTCTCCCTTTCCTTCTTTGCTTCCGGTAGAAAGTGTGTTTTCCCTGCAGAGCAGAGATGGGGTAAGCTGAAGTGTTTCTAGATTCCTGCAGGCCTTCTCTTCTGAAGAACCATGCTGGCTAGCCACTCCCAATTGCCAAGTGCTCACCTTTCCCCTCTCCTGGTCACTCACCCATGGTTCCCAGGCTCCTCTGTAGCAATGTCTGCCAGACTGCACATCAAAGAGGCGCTGGTGGGAAACAGAGGGGATGCACACTACAAAGAGGCAAGGCTGGGGAGGAGTGAGTCACCTCACAGAGGACTCATTGATGGAACCCTTCAAACAGCAGGATCCCAGACCTTTAAAGACGGAACATTGTAATGTCTTATAAAGACAGCCCGTGTGAGGAAGCCTGCTGTCACCTGTCTGACCTGTGGCTCTTGGTGCCTGGGTACTGGCCATGCCTTCCATTTGGGATCCCTTTGGGCTTAGCATGCTGCACAGATCCCTGTGGGGTAGCCTCTGCTCTCTCTGACTTTTCCTACTCATTCTCTGCTACAGGTTGATGGTGGGGAGCTATGGAGGTCTGGGGTACCTCCAGAGATCCCCCAAGACCTCTGAAGGATGTGTTCAACCCTATTGAAGCTTGTGACCACCTCTTGAAATTCTCAGGGGTGATACCCATGTATCAGTTGCTACTAGGCATATCTGAGAACTTTGCCTTGTGGTCCGCTCTGCACTGCTTAGACTACAAAGAGTTAACACAGATGGTACTGTGTCTAGGACAGTGTGAATGTGCACGGTCCCCCAGATTATGTCATTTAATCCTTATCTCACAGTTTGTGAGGGAGTTGGTGGTGTGGCATTTACCAGTGAAGGAATCAGGGTTTGGCAAGTCACTTGACCAGAGGCCCCAAGTTGTGAGTGGTAGAGCCAGAGTAGGCAGACCTAACCATTGTGTTTCCCTCCCTCTCCAGTTCTGTCACACTGGATTAAACTTGCCATCCAAGACTGAATCCTAGGACATCCCCACCCCATTAGAGCATCTGTCTTCCTCTTGACATCCCTGCCTCACCATGTATCTCTGCAGAGTCAGCTCACTCTTCAGCCTTGAAGAAGAGATGGCTGTTCTGCTCCCTTGAAGATAGATTGTGGTCCTCACATGTTGAGTGCAGTGTTAGTGTGTGTGTATGTGTGTGTGTGTATGTGTGTGTATGCATGTATGTATATATGTATGTGTGCATGTGCCCGTGTGTACTCGAGTGTACATGTGTTTGCACCTATGTGAATGCTTTTGTAATTTTCAGATGGACTCATCTATCTGGGTTTTCTGGGTTTTGATTTTTTATCTGGTAGGCCCATGTGTCTGTGGCTGATAGCAGGACACGGGCTGAATGTTCTTCTAACAGAGACTTGGCAGCCTGTTATGCCATGCCTTCGCCAGCAAGAAACACGCCTCCTGCGTCCCCTGTCTAAGACTCCAGGGCGTCCCAGCCATTGCCCCTCTGACAGGAGGCACTTCCTGTGCTCTGTGCTGCCAACTGTAGCCAAGATGTTTCGCCTTTCCTCCCACCTGGCCCCAGTTCTTTGAGAAGAGCCACTCTCTGCAGATGACAAGTCCCCTTGTCCTCTGTCCATAGGCTTTTCAGTCGTAGTTAATAACACAACCAATGCCACAATGCAATACAATTGCAGTCATAAAATAAAAACAACAAATAACATCAAAGACTGAAGGCAATATTACAGTAAGCTTCAAGCAAATCTCTACTTATATGCTGGAACTTACCCATAAGACAGTGAAATGCTAGAAGGAAGGATGAAGTGATGTAAAATTGTCCTACAAAGTCAAGTTCAACATGACTGACTGTTTACAGTCTGTGGTAAGCCCTTTACTTCTGCAGAGTGCTGGTGAAATATCTGAATTGGAGGTGTGGTGGTTTGCCTTGCCGTTTCCACATCTCCAGCCTTTGCGCTGCTTGCCCCCTAATCTTTGTTAGCCATAGGCTAATCTTACTTTGACATATTCCCTAAATTTGAGTTCTGTTTGGTCAAAGCAAGCAGGCTTCCACCTTGATTGCTTTCCATCTGAGCAGATAGGACAACTGAGGCACAGAGGTATTCTTTCCAGAAGCTGCTGCTCATGACGGAGCTTGGCAGAACCATTTCTCACCTCTCCCCGGCTGATCCCTAAGATGATCAAACCCTATCACATTAATTGAGATATCTGGGAATGGGGTAGTGTTGCTTAATGGTTCTGGCATGGCCAGACACTGAGCTAGCACTACTGAGGCTGACAGCTGAGGGCCATCTTACCTACTCTGGACCCGCTGGCTCCTCAAGCTTCTTTTCAGGCTGAGTCAGCAGTCTATGGCCATGGAAGAGACTGGCTTTGAAAACTGGATCCTTTGGCAAACGTTTGCATTGGATCTGTAGGCTCAGGGACACTGTCTCACCACAGGAATTTACTGGCTATGTGTTGCTAGGAAATGTAAATTAAGGGCCACAGAGGGACCATCAAGGGACTTCGAAAGAGGAGAATCCATGGAGTGTTTCCTAGGTAGCTGCCAAGGATGGGTGTATAGAGGTTAAGAACCATGCATGTAGCAGGAGGCTGTCTCCTCTCTGCCAGCAGGCACCAACCAGAACAGTGGCCCAACCTATATACCAGTAGTTTAAAGGAGGGCGTGGTTCTAGTACTACAAGCTTCAGTCTTCAGGACCGAGCAAAGGGCTGCTGCTCCCACTGCAGGTGCCTACCCTTCCCATCCCCAGAATCATTTGTTCACTCAGCCGCCCCTCCTTCCCCAGTCAAAGCTGACCTCCCATCTCTACCCTGGGCTTTGGGAGGCTTTTGCCAGGCTCTTGGTGTGGTTTTCTTTAATCTAGACACTTCTGATTTTAGACCACTGTGATGATTCATATCAGGATGAGAGAGGCAGATAGGAAATAGTTCTCAGTGCCAAGGGGATCCAGGGACATCTTTAGTTTGTGGAATGTGCTGAAGCCCTTTGAGGGATGGATGTCCTTCTGTTTACCCATTCTGGTCATGAAGCCTTCCTCCTCCAGCCTTCCCTTCTTCATCCCCCACCCCCAGGGTAGAAAGCCCAGCAGCATCTTGCCTTCACTGGAAGTCTGCCACCTCCCTCTAAAGGATTACCTCTTTTATTCAGTTTGAAATCCCAAGAGTTCCTTTTTTGCAATTACTTAATTTTATTTCACACATATGGGTGTTTTGCCTGTACCTGTATATGTATATCGCAAGCACACCTGGTGCCCACAGAGGCCAGAAGAGGGCAGCGGATCCCTTGGGACTGCAGTCGCTGGCAGTTGAGAGCTGCATGTGGGTACTGAGGATAGAACCCTGGTCCTCTGCAGGCACTGCAAGTGCTCTGGACTTCTGAGCCATCTCGCCAAACCCTGCCAAAGTGCCCTCCCTGGCCCTGAGCACGTGAAAATGCCGTAGGTGGATATTGTCCCGTTCTGGAGGCACTAAGTCACATGGAGTCACATCTTTCCTGTCTTTCCTTCTGCAGGTTCTGATGAGGAATATATTTACATGAACAAAGTGTCAATCAACAGGGAACAGAACTCAGCATCTCCAGACAAAGGTATGGGGCCCTGCAAGCTGTGGGGCTGCCTGGTTTCAGACAAAGGAGTCAGAGCCCCACCCCTCATCTTTACCCCTCCCTGCCAGTTCTCAGACAGGCCCCGGGGGTTATTTTTGGAATCCACATTTTGGTTAATGGTATTTTTGGGTTTATATATTTTTGGATGTTTCAATGGGGCCACCACCTTCTTGCCTATTGGGTGAGGAATCTGTCCCTAAAATCTCTTGGCTTTTCCCAGAATCACTACAGGAAGAGGAAGTCGTAATTCAGACATTCTAGGAGAGCTGATCCCACGGTTCCAGCCCTGCCTCTTTGGGTGAAAGTCTGCTTGGGAGGAGGGAGAAGAAATGGTAGTGTCAGCAAACATACTGTTGAAAGATAAAGCTCTCGGGGTATTCTCAGGCAGTGTGGACTCTCTCCCAGAAGGACTTGGGGCCTTATCCTTTGCACTTTACCCTCTGCCTAAAACTCATTCTCTTAAAACCTTTGGTGTGTGTCTGGCCCACAATGTTCAGAACATTCAGCATCAAGGGACCCCAAGAAAGTTTTCTTTAATTCCCAAACAGAAAGACTTAAAGAGAGGTGGGAAGAGATTTCCCCCCAAAGCTTCAGCCATGTTCTGAGCAAGGGTTGCCTTTGAGACATCAGCAAGCCTGCGCTCCTTGCTAGGCTGGTTGAACTGGAGAGACTTGGAAGCCAGTGGCCTATTCTTCTTTGGTGTGGTGTCCACACCTCTTCCCCACCTTCCCCCACCACCAAGTCAGGAGCTGAGACATTCATGCGGTGCCAGTGGCCACTCTGTCCAGGGTCACTTGCCTTCTGGGTAAACGGTGGGTGGAAAGAACCACAATCACCAGGTCGGTGCTTTGTTTGTGTGGCTCAATATAGTGACTGGCAAGCAGCTGCCTCGCTCACTGAAGCTCTGTGGCTGGGCCATTTTTGAAAATGGGGGAGGTAGGAGAGGGTAGCAGAGCCTTCCAGAAACCCCATGCTGGTTACTTCTGAGGAATCTGCATAGGGCTGGCCACTGCTATGTCCTATTCCTGGAGGAAAAAAAACAACTCTGGCTGGAGGGATTGCCTGCCTAGGTAATTAACACCTGCTCAAATAGAATACACAGGAGAGGGACCAGACAAGTGAGCAGACATTCCTGGGTAATGAGAACCTGCCTCTCCTCACCAAAGCCTTCTCCCCTTGCTGCCCACAGTTCCCGAGGAGCAGGGTCCACTGACCAATGGGGAGCCCAGCCAGCATTCCTCGGCCCCTCAGAAGAGCCTTCCAGACCTGCCTCCACCCAAGATGGTGAGTGTCAGGCCAGGACACTTGATCGTGGCTATCTGCCTGTCTGCCTAGCCTCTGACCCATTCCGAGGACACAGGAGGAGGAAGTCAGAACACAGGAAACCTGACCAGGACACTCCAGGTGCTCAGAGTAATGGGCCTGGGGAAGCTTTCTCAAGTGCGTTTGTCAAGAATCACTTAGTACCTAACACTACAGGGCCATAAACAGTTCTGATCAGCAGTTCCCGAGTCTGTGACCTTCCAAACAGGTGTGATAGCTCATGCCTCTGGTCCCAGCACTCGGGAGGCTGAGGCAGGAGGAACATCATGAGTTTAAAGTTAGCCTGCGCTACAGGGTAAGTTCCAGGTCAGCATGGCCTAATAACAGTGTGAGATGTTATCTCATAAAAAAAGGAATTTGTACCCCATTGTGCCTCATACTTGAAGCCCACCATAGGGTCTTGTAAAGCTCAGAAATAGACTTCCTGTTCCAAACATGGTCCCCAGGCTGCGCCTCCCACCCAACAGCAGCCTGTGCAGCCACCTCAGACTGGATTTCCACTAACTGCCCTTCTGCTGCTGGGGTTGGTTCTGCCTCGGGGCCTTTGTACTTGGTGGGCTACTGGCTTGTCCTCTTCTCTCAGAAGCTTTTAGAGCATCCTGGCCTGGATGACAAGGCCACTGAACTCCTGCTCTGCCTCTGCTGAGTTGCTGTCCCTTGTCACTACTGACATAGCTGTTTTATTATTTGTCTCCTCCATCAGTTATAAGCTCCAAAGAACAAGAATAGACTCTTTCACCGACCGCCTCGTGCCCAGTGTTTATACCAAGTAGACCATACAGAGCTCACTTTGTAGACCAGGCTGGCCCCAAACTCAAGAGATCTGCCTGCCGCCAGAGTGCTGGGATTAAAGGCTTGACCACCACACCCAGTTTGTTCCTTGATGTTTAAGGAACAGCAATGTTGGCATCCGTCTGACCAGATGGTCACACTCAGTGGGTTACACTTATAAAAACACTGTCTATGTCCCACTAAGGCAGCCTTTAGTGAGATGAGTCACAGTGTTTACATTTTAGGGCATGTTAGGCTTCTGTTGCTGTGGTTGACACTGGGATCAGAAGCAACTTGGGGAGGAAAAGAGTTTATTTCGGCTCACAGTCACAAGTCCATCACTGAGGAAAGTCAAGGCAGCAACTTAAACCAGGAACCTAGAGGTGGGGACTGAATTGGAAGCCATGAGAAGAGTTGCTTACTGGCTTTCTCCCCCTGATTTCTTCAGTATTGCTTTCCTACATCATCTAGGGCCACATGCCCAGGGGTAGCACCTCCCACAATGGCCTGGGCCCTCCCACATCAAGCACCAATCAAGAAAATGCCCTACATACATGACCTCAGGCCGATCTTATGAAAACATTTTCTCAATTGTGGTTCCCTCTTTTCAGATAACTCTTACTTTTGTCAGGTTGACAAAAAGTAAAAAAGTAATAAAAAATTAAAAAAAAAATCCAGCCAAAACAATGTGGTGGAAGCCCATTGTCTTAACATAGAAGTGACAGTGTCAAGACTTGATCCCAGGTTTTTTCCCCAAAAGGAGGCTTCCTAGAAAATCCCAACGCCACATCTTGGAGGTTATATGAGGCTCAAGAAGGGTCTTAACCCCAGAATGGCTCTGAACTAGCCTCCAAGGCTTTCTGAGGACAGCAGGGGTACACAACACCACCATGTGGGGCACAGAGGTAGTTCCTGAGTAGGTCATGGGTCAGTGGCCCATGCTTGAAGTCCCCTTAACTGACAGTGGATGAAACTCTCAATGTCAGGTGAAGTGATTATTGGCAGGCTTACCCTTCCTCTCTGGGTGTCCTTGTAATGCTGCTGATGGCCTCTTCCTGAACTTCTACCCTGCTCCATACAGATCTGATCCCCAACTGCCCATCAAGGGATAGGTAACTCTGTCACCATCTCAGAGTGTCGAGAGGCCTGGCCCAAATGGACGTCCAGGAGGCAGAGAGGTCAGATGTCAACACAGGCTTCTTCCTGGGTCTATAGCAGAGTGGGGGGGGGGCTGTGCTCCTCCCATCTCCTCCCCCTTCACTCTCACCCCAGTACTTTGGGGGTCTGGGAGAGACACCGGCTGTCACCAGCAGCAGTGGGTGGCTCTGGAAAGGGGAGCAACTGTGGTTCTCCCAGTCATCGCTCACCATGATTTTGCTGATGTGAAATGCCACCTGCCAAGCCAGATACCCCTGGGTCAACGCAAGGAGGGATGGTGTATTCAATAGGCAGAGTTCCCCTGGCACAGAGTCTTAACTATTCTAGAAATGTGTGTTTCATAAATACACTGTAGAGAGCCCAGAGTCTGGGCTTTGGTCATAGTTCTAAAGAATCCAGTCCAATAGACCCGGAAGTCTCTGGGATTCACGGCACTCCCCAGTGTGAAGACTTGGAGGTCTCCATAAGAGCTGAAGTGAGGGGAGAGGACAAGATCCTCTCCTGCTCACCCTTCCTGCTCTGTCTGTGATGGCACGGGCCATGTCTGAGAGAAAATTGGTTCTCGAGATGGAGAAATTGTCACTGCCCAGGAATAGTTCAGTCCCAGGAGCCTTTCTGAGGCGTGGTAATCATCCTGTGGATAGGCTCCAGGCCTGGGGATCCGTCCAGCAGCACCAGCTGACGTTACACTGCAGGGCCCTCCCTCCACCAGATGGACTTTCTTTGCTAGAAGGGTATGGCATGTCTAAGGCCTTCCAAGATTCTTCCTAGGCACCCACTACTGCCCTCCAGTGATTCCAGATGTGAGGAAGGGTGGTCTCTTGCTTCCCAGGCCCTCTCTTTCCTGCCCACACATGCTTGCCCATGCTTGGGCCCCTCAGCCCTTCCTACTCACTCTGCCCAAAGCTGTAAAAGTCTTGGTCCAATGTTTCCAGAGGAGCAGGGTCAGGTGGATCAAGAGGAGGAAATCCAAGAGTCATTCCTAGGCCTCCCAGGAAGACTACATGGCAGTTCCGTCCAGCCTCCCTCAGACAGAGATTCCCTCTTCCCTCTCCTGACTCACATGATCAGAGTGCTATAGGGAAACCTTCATCCAAATGCTGGGCCCATAATGCCTGTGTCTGGATGCCTGTGCCAGGATGGTGGTCCCTTGTCAGCTCATCCCTGACTCACCTCTGGTGGCTAGGTCCTCACTGTAGTCCCCATAGTCAGAAGAGGTCCATCCAGCTGTGGTGAGCAGCCAGGGGTCTGGAGCAAACTTGTGGGTGTGGAGAGTGACTCACAGCTTAAGTCTTTCCAGGCTGCAGGCTGCACAGCCAGATGCTGTGGTCAGTGCAAGAGAAACAGATGTTTGCAGGCCACTGTACCATCTTGGCAAGCGCCACCCCTACCCCACGCACCTCTTGAGGCCTGACCGTGACATTAGCACTGATCTCAATGGAGGTCCCTGGTGGGGAAAGAAGCTGACATCCATGGCATTTCCACGGTCAGTGTAACCCCAGAATTTTCCACAGTGTGTTGTTCCCCATGGTAGGTCTTGTGACTGCCTTGGGTCATCTAGGACCAGGGACCTTAGGTCTCATCATAGGAACTGGTACACCAGAGCCCCCAGCCCGTGGGTGCACTCACCAGCCACCTGCTCTTTTCCTTACCATTTGCTTACACCAGCTACACTTAGCATGCGTGACGTATGGACGATTTCTCTACACTGTAACCCTAGGAGTGAGTAGCTGAGATAAGAGACCCCAAGGGGCCACAGATTCCTAAAATATTTGCTGGATGGCCCTCTGGAGAACAAGCAGAAATGTGGCTCTTGGTAAATCCTGCTGCTCACGGTGGTTTCTCCCCGTCTCTTCCTCTGATAGCTGGTTATTTCAGCACTGAAATCAAATCTCCTGCATCTTCGGTTAGTGATTACTGTCTTAGGGTTACTATGGCTGTGGAGAGACACTATGACCAGAAAGCAAGTTGAGGAGGAAAGGATTTATTTGGCTTATACTTATATATGACTGTTCACCATTGAAAGAAGTAAAGACAGGAACCTGAAGGTAGGAGCTGAAGCAGAGGCCATGGAGGGGTGCTGCTTATGGGTTTGCTTGCTCATCGTGGCTTGTTCAGTCTACTTTCTTAGAGAACCCAGAACCACCAGCTCAGGGAAAGCACCACTCACGGTGGCCTCCCCCATTAATCACTAAGAAGATGAGATATAGCTGGGATCTTATGGAGGCATCTTCTCCGCTGAGACTCCCTCCTATCAGATTTCTCTAGTTTGTGTCAAGTTGATGTAAAGAACATCCAGTACAATCACAATCTTCACATCTTGATGCTGGTGTTTAACACAGTGGTCCTTATGATGCTGGTGCTTACTTAACACAGTGGTCCTTATG